TAGTGAAAAAGTGCGGGAAGGGGGAAAGTAAGGTCTTAACAGCAGAAGCAAGGATACAGTGCTTAAAGAGAAACGCAAACCTGAAACAGATTAGAGAAACAAGAAATTTCCCGGGATGGACATCGGGGAAATTTTCAAAGTCAGGCGCAGCAAGGGGGGAGGGTAAGCAACAACGGAGACAGCCTTTCACAAAGGGCCCCCTATCAGACCCACGTGGGGCCAAAAAAAAAGCCCGATGAGCACACTAAGATCAAAGGGACGGGTCCGAAGACAATAAAAGGTATGTATATGCAAGTTTCAAAAACCCCAACTGCAGTAGCAAGGGCAGCGGGTTTCGGGAAAAGGGACAGTTCACTGAGAATAGAAGTTTCAGATATGCCCGGGGGCCCGAAGGAAAAACATGCCCAAATGGAAGGAAAAAAACTGCCTCGAGGAAGCGATGGGACCAGTGGGAGGGGGAAAAGGGAAAAGTCAGTTTTTGGGTAAGGGTTTAAAAGAACCCAAGGGGGGGAAAATTTTGAAGAAAAAAAACTGGAGGAAAAAAAAAATGTTTAAAGGGGCATCATGAAAAAAATTTGGGGGGGCGATATCCCCAGGTGACAAATTTTCAGAGAATTGGGGTTTGCGAGGGGAAAAGGATAGGGGCCCCTGTCAAAGTAATTTAAAAAGGGAAAATCAGTTTAAAACCCGGGATTCTCCCAAGAGAAAGAAAGGGACGGAGGGACAAGAGGGGTCCCCGAGGGGTTTACCCCCGACCGCGACGAACCCCAAGAAAAAAAGGACTACACTGAAAGAGGGTTACAGAGACGCAAGGGGGAACGGGGGGCAATGACGAAAATGAGCGGACCCGACACAGGAGGGAAAGGGAAAAAACCCCCCCACAGAATCCCCCAACCAAAAGCCCCAAACCGCGACTTTCCCCAACGAAACGAGAAACCTTTTCTAAAAACCCCTAAACTTTTTTCCCTTCTCCAAAAACCCCTATCACAAACCCTTTCCCCCCAAAACAGCTGCCCCTTAGGGCATTCTGACCCCCCCCCCAAATCAACAAAAACCCCCCCTTTAACCACACCCCCATAAGGCCCCCCCCAAAGGCTCTCGCTCCCCCAACCCCAATATTCTTGCATGACCACAAAGATAGAAAAAAAACTGAAGGGTTTGGGACACAAACGCGGAGGGAAAAAAGAATTTAAAAATGAGGATGGAACGAAAGAAACAGTGAAAAATCCCCCGACAAACTAGCCCTCACAGAAAAAAAAACCGCTGGACAATTAAAAAGACACAAAACTTCCCAAAGGATATCAGATCCTGGGGAAAGAAAGGAGGGGGGAGGGGGGGAGGAGGGGGGGTTTCACTGCTCATAAAAAATCCGTTGGGGGTTTGAGGAAATGGAAAGGGATGGAATGATTGGGAAAAAAAGAACTAAAATTGTAGGGACATTCAGTCCGGAGGGAAAATAAAGAGTCTTTTGGAGTGATTTTATAACCCCCCACAGAAATTGCAGGGGGGCCAAAAAAGGGTAAAGGGAAAAAAAAATGGGGGATGGTGGACACACTGGCTGAGGTGGCAAAAAAGAGCTTTACCGAGCAGACAAAGTTACTGGGAATGGGCGTTTTTAACCACAGGGGGGGATCGACTGGGAAAAAACCCGGGGCCCCCAAAGGGGGTCCCGAAACATGGGGAGCCAAGATGAGGATGTGGTACTTTGAAAACCCCATGCATTAAAAAATTTAGGGGCACAACCCGAGAGGGGAAAGGAGGGGGGGGCCAGCAAGACTGGGTCTTGTGTTCACCCCGAGCGTTCAGAACTTGAGGACAACACTTTTCGAGGGCCCCCCGGGGCTAGCGATCACGTGGGTTTTGAGTTTTTACTATTTTAGTAGGTTTTCAAGTGGGAAGGTAAAAAAACAAGGGGGCAGGCCCCAAATTTTAAAAGGGGGGGCAAAAAAGGTATTTAGAAAAATTCCTGCAAAGGAAAAATTTAGTGGGACAGAGAAAATGGTTTGGAAAAACCGAAACCCAATGAAGGAAAATGTGGCAACAAAGTTCAAAGGGGGCAAGGGGAAGTTTTGGGTTCCCCAAGGGAAAAAGAAATAAAAAGGGAAAACCAAAACGAGTCCCTTGGTTTACCCCAAGGGTGGGGGGCAAAAACTAAGTTTCAAGGAGAAAGGAAAAAAAGGGACAGGGGGCCCTGGACCCCGGAAAAAAAGGGGGATTAGTAGAAGAGCCAGAAACGAGTATGCACCGAAAAGGAGGGAAAGGCCCCCGCGACAGTATGAAAAAAGACATAGCCCTCAAAGCAAATCGACCCCAAAAAAGCTGTTTTACCACATTAGGAGGGAAGAAACTTTTAAGGGGCCAGGTGATAAGGGTGAGGAAAGAAGGTGGGGGGAACTTTACAAAAACGAAACAAAAGGTATGTGAGGAGCTCAAAAACCCCGATTTAAAGGGAATTTTTTCAGTAGAGACAGGAGGACTTCTGGGGGGAAGAACAGATTGGGGGCCCAAAGGAAAAACCCCCAACAAGGGGTTGGGCCCACATTTTCACACAGAAAGAGGAGGGGTGTGAGAAAATGCTAAAGGGGCATTTGATACCTCAAAGGCAATGGGCCCGGGCAACATCTCCCCGTGGGTCCCTTTGAGAGGGAGGGGATATGTTGTGCGTGCCACTTACCACAAAACTTCAAAAAAGGGGCCCTTAAAAATGGGCAACTACCCGAGGGATGGAAGACGGCAAATGTAGTTTTCCCCTTTTTTAAAAAAAACAGAAAAAGAGGCACTAAACTATAAAACCTGTGGGCATTGACGGTAAAGTAAAGCAAAATTTAATTTGGGGAAGATTTCAGGGGGAGAGTGGGGGAGCACCTGGAACGGAACAAGAGTATAAATGCAACCAGGGCCCGGGTTTACGGAAAAGGGAAAAAATGTGTCCCCAAACTTTCTGGAGTTTTTTGATTTAAAATAACAGAAGTAAGAAACCGGGAGAGGGGTGGGGTTTATTGCATCTTCTTGGAATGCAAAAGGCCTTTTTACCCCAGTTCCTCACAAAAAATTAAAAGGGAGAAGCTAGAGCATTTAGGCGCATATAACAGGGGAAAGGGGCCGGGAATTTGGGTCAAGAATTTCCTGACAGGGGGGGCAACAAAAGAGTCATGGTACGTAAAAGATGTAAACACAGTGGGCACCGTTAACCCAGCGGGGTCCCCACAGGGGGCGGTTTCCCAGGAAAAAATTTCTATTTTTGGGATAGTGAAAGGGCATGAGGAAAAGGGTTTTGACTCAAATTCCCCTTTGCAGATGATGTGAAGTTAATGGGGAAAAAATTAAAACTGATGAGGACCGGCAGGGAAATTTAAAAAAGACCCGGGCAGACGGGGGCACCTGGTCCAGCAAATGGCTTCCGAATTTTTAAACCCGGGCCCAAAAGCCCAAAATCATGAAATAGGGGAAGGGCACAGAAAAACCACCCGGGCAAGGGAATTTGGGGTAGGTGGCCAAAGACTGCAACCCCCACTAAGGGGAAAGATCTTGAGGTGAGTTAAAACAAGGCATGTCCCCCGGAAAAAACACATCAATTTAGGGAACTGCTGCAGCATATTGGGGGCGCCTGGCAAACCTTAGAACAGCATTCCGATACCTTAGTTAAAGGGAAACGTTCAAAGACAAATGAAAAACCCCTGTATTTTCAGGGCCCCTAGGGGTATGCAGCACCTGTTTTGGGAAACCCCCACTTTTATAAAGCACTTCAAGAAAATAGAGGGAAAATCAAAGGTTTTTCGACAAGGTTAGTTCCAGAGTAAGGGGAATGTCCTTTTGAAGAAAGATTAAGGGGAAAACGGGCCCACGACAAATGGAGGACAGGAAGGGGTTTTAGGGGGGGGGAAATGATAACGGAAAATATAAAAAACTGCGTGGAATAGAAAAAGGGGGGAAAAAGACAGGATTTCCAGGGAGGGGACACAGAAAAAAAGAGGCCAAAATTTTGGGAAATTGAAGACAAAATGAGTTGGAGTTTTTAGGAATATTTCTTCAGTCATTTGAGTTGTAAGGGGAGGGAATTGCTTTTGAAAATGACGTAGTGGAGGGGAAACCATACACAGTTTTTAAAAGAGGTTTGATAAAGTCAGGGAGCGGGAGAGGGGAAAAGGGGCCCCGTAGCAACCGGTTTAAGAGGCGGGGGGCCCGGATCTAAAAACTTTGACCCCCCCAACCCCCAAATAGGTGAGTACACATAAACACACAAAACACACCACACCACAACCCACACACCCCACCCCCCACACACTACCCACACACCCCCACACACACACAACCACACACACATAAAACCCCACCCACACCCACACACACAACACCCCCCACCACACACACACAAAACCAAACACACACACACACAACACACCACACCAAAACACACACAAAGATACTCACACACACCCCACTCACACACACACACGCCACCACCCCCCCCCCACATAAACACACACAAAACACACACCACACACACACACCACACCCCAAAACACACCACACACACCCCGCCCCCCCAAAACAACACATTGGGGAAGGGAAAAGTGTTAGGCAGGGTCCCTACAAAGCTGTAAGAAGCAGGAAAAAAATGACCCAAATAGCGGCCCGTGGAGAGGAGGGCCCAAAACTTGACCCCGACCCCTGCACAACAACTAGATGAGTAAAACTCAGTGTGTTGATATTTAAACCCTTTTTGATTCGTTTTCAAGCCCTCGGGGCCGGGGCCGAGCTTGAACCCAAAAAACCACTCAAAAATTAATTTCATCCTGACTTTTTTTTTTAAATAAAGGCATCTCTCTCTCTCTCTCTCTTTCCTCCCCCTTTCTCTCCCTCTTCCTCTTTTTCTCTTCTCCCCCTCTTTTCTCTTTTCTTCCCCTCTCTCTCTCCTCTCTCTCCCCTCTCTCTTTTCTCTCTTTTCTCCTCCTCCTTATCCCTCTTCTCTCTCTCTCTTTTCTCTCTTTCTCTCGCAGGTGCGTCAATGGGTTCGCCCGGGGGGGGAAGTGCCTGCATCTGCTTTCCCCTTTCTGGGGGGGGGGCTCCTACTGCCAAAGCTACGGTTGGTACACCCCTACACTCTGTACAAACCCGCTGTGTGTACCTTTCTGATGCACAAATATAAAGTAAACATACCCTGTTTTACTTACTGACTGGTGCCCAAAAAATTTTTTCCCAAGTGTAAAACCCACAAAACACCCGTGTACACTAGTAAACAAATAACATTCAATGTTTATGTGTACACATATTTTACACCTGTCAAGCGTGGCACGTAAATTTTAAAATATCATTTTTTAGATGTTGAGTTGTTAATTAGAATAAAAATTAAAAAAATAAGTAGTTCGTGAAGAAATTAATTTGTACCTTGATAAAAGCGGGAAGGGGGAAAAGACGGGGATTTTTAAAGGGCCGAATCCATATCCCAAACATGTAATCCCTATCCTAAAATTTGTAATTTTCCCATTCCAAACAGTAATCCCTTCCCAAAAACGGTAAACCCCTCCCCAAAAATAGTAATCCCCATCCCTACCCCAATAATCCCCATCCCAAAAAGGTAATCCCCAACCCCAAAACCCGTAATCCCTACCCAACACGGTAAACCCCAAACCCAACATAGTAAATTTTCCCATCACAACTCGTAATCCCCATTCCAACATAGTAATCCCCATTTAAACACCGTAATTCCTATCCCAACATTAAAAATCCCTATCCCCCCAAAACAAAAATCCCCTTTCCCCAAAATAAATTTAAACCCCATCCCAAACACAGTAATCCCTATCCCAACATAGTAATCCCTATCCCAACACAGTAATCCCTATACCAACACGGTAATCCCCATCCCAACATAGTAATCCCTATCACAACACAGTAATCCCCATCCCAACATAGTAATCCCTATCACAACACAGTAATCCCTATCCCAACATAGTAATTCGTATCCCATTACAGTAATCGCTATCCCAACATAGTAATTAGTATCCCATTGCAGTAATCGCTATCCCAACACAGTAATCCCTATCACAACATAGTAATCCCTATCCCAACATAATAATCCCTATCGCAACACAGTAATCCCTATCCCAACATGGTAATCCCTTTCCCAACACAGTAATCCCTATTCCAACATAGTAATCCTCTCCCAACACAGTAATCCCTATCCCAACATAGTAATCCCTATTCCAACACAGTAATCCCAATCCCAACATAGTAATCCTAATCCCAACACAGTAATCCCTATTCCAACATAGTAATCTCTCTCCCAACACAGTAATCCCTATCCCACCATAGTAATCCCTATCCCAACACAGTAATCTCTATCGCAACACAATAATCCCCACATAACAGTAACTCCATGTAACAGTAATCAATATCCCACCGCAGTAATCCCTTTGGAACACTGCACAGGGATTACTTTGTTACAACCAAGGGAGGCCCACAGATGGCATCAACAGAGGCTGTGTTGCAGGTTGCAGTGCATACAATATGCAATGATATATTGAATCAGTGAGCGCACTGGTGTGTGTGTGTGTGTGTGTGTGTGTGTATGTGTGTGTGTGTGTGTATTGTGTGTGTGTGAGTGTGTGTGTGTGTGTGTGTGTGTGTGTGTGTGTATGTGTGTGTGTGTGTGTGTGTGTGTGTGTGTGTGTGTGTGTGTGTGTGTTGTGTGTGTGTGTGTGTGTGTATGTGTGTGTAGTGTGTGTGTATGTGTGTGTGTGTGTGTGTTGTGTGTGTGTGTGTGTGTTACTCACCTAGTTGAGGTTGCAGGGGTCGAGTCCTAGCTTCTGGCCCCGCCAGGAGAGAGAGTGTGTGTATGTGTGTGTATTCACCTATATGTGATTCCAGGGTCGAGTCACAGCCCCTGGCCCCCCCTATTCATGAGTGTGTATGAGTGTGAATGTGCTCACTTATTTGTACTCACCTCTTTGTGGTTACTGGAGTAGAGACTTGCTGTTCACTCTCCTGCTGGCTTCCTGAGCCTCTGTCGTACCTATTCCTAAAGCTGTGTATGGATCTTGCCTCTACCACTTCGGGTTGTTCAGGTCGGTCCATTTAACCCTATCTAACTTTAACGATTTTCCCTTTTAGCCTGCCCTTTCATTTTCTTATCTTGCCTGTAGCCCTATTTTCCCATTTAACTTACTCTCCTTTAACCTACGCCCTTGTAACCTATCTTCCTTCTCACCTATCTTCCCTTTCCCTCACCTATAGGTTCTCACATAAACCCCCTGCTCCGGAAGTTAGGTGGCCTCACCTTAAAAACCAGTTGCTGGCATCGACTTCCACAAAGAGAATTCTCAAGGGCAATTTAACCCCCCTTGCAGTTGCATCCTCATGAAGCCTGCAATATCCTTCACTTCTTCACCTACTTCCATAATTTCACCGCTCCTGTCTCTATTCCTCGTTCCACCTTTTTTTCCGGTCTCCTCTCTGGTCCCCTCTCTCTCTCTCTCTCTCTCTCTATTTCTCTCCTAAGGCGCAAAGAATGAGATCTTTTCACGATTGTCTCTTCCGTGTCTCGATATCTCTTCCGCCTGTGTTTGTGCGTGTTTATGTGTGTGTGTGTTTGTGAGTGAGGCGCGTGTACACACACTGGAGTCACTACTACCAATTTACTGTCCTCCACAGAAGACAACTACGCCCCACGCTTCCTGGTCCACGCCGCAACTGCCGTAGTTCCCGAGAATATTACCGGTAAGTCACCTTGCTGTGTACACAAGCTTAATTAACGCACCTCTCTCTCTCTTCTCTCTCTCTCTCTCTCTCTCTCTCTCTCTCTGACCTCTAACCTCATATTTTAAGCAGTTCACCAGCGTTGTACGCAGCTAATAGTAATTGTCCTTAATGTGATTATCGTCAGCTTCTGACGTTAATTAGGGACGATATGAAGCATTATTCTGAGTGTTAGTCGGTCCGGTCACAATGTTTTGTTGTATTGTATAGTTACCGGATGACATAATCCCGTCTATTGATAGACTAAATGTGAACATACACACACACACACACACAGGGGCCAGGAGCTATGACTTGATCCCTGTAACCACAATTAGGTGGGTAACACATACATACACACACACACACACACGCACTCATGCACGCACACACGCACACAAGGGTAAATTTCTAGTAATCCCTAGTAATCCCCCCGCAGGTACAATACACCAGGATTTATGTCTCTACACCTTTACCTGACTCAGCCACGAACACAGGTAATTACTAGGCGCCAGGTCCTGGGTGGAGGGATTGGGGAGGGGAGGGGGAAGGAAGAGAGAGAGAGAGAGAGAGAGAGAGAGAGAGAGATAGATTACATCCGTTTGGCATGGAAAATTGGCAGTAATTCCAGCGATATTGCTCTTGTATCTTATTGCAGACTTGAATATTGCTACACTAAACTGCCGTACACCACCCGATGTACACCCATGATGCACACACCATGTACACCACCCGATATACACCCCATGATGCACACACCATGTACATCACCTGTTGTACACCCCATGATGCACACACCATGTACACCACCCGATGTACACCCATATGCCACACCATGTACACCACCGATGTACACCCCATGATGCACACACCATGTACACCACCCGATGTACACCCATGATGCACACACCATGTACACCACCCGATGTACACCCCATGATGCACACACCATGTACATCACCCGTTGTACACCCCATGATGCACACACCATGTACACCACCCGATGTTACACCATGATGCACCACCATGACACCACCCGATGTACACCCATGATGCACACACCATGTACACCACCCGATGTACACCCCATGATGCACACACCATGTACATCACCTGTTGTACACCCCATGATGCACACACCATGTACACCACCCGATGTACACCCCATGATGCACACACCATGTACATCACCTGTTGTACACCCCATGATGCACACACCATGTACACCACCCGATGTACACTCAAGAGAAAGAGATAGAGAGAGAGAAAGAGCGGAAAAGGTTTAAGAATATAGTGTACATTCTGGTGCCATTAGGAAAGAGACAGCTATTCTGGACAAGAGAAGACTGGGGAAACTTTTGTGGGTCTTCAGCCAGTGAAGTTCTTTCTTTGGAGGAAAAAGGATATTTCTGGCTGAGGTTTTATGAAGAACAGCAGCTCTTGGTGGAGAAGGTAGACACTCTGAAGGGGAATGTGCTGCGAGGTGCGAAGACTTCGTCAGGACGGGAACCTAACATGACCGCGGGTTCACATCCCACCCGTGGTATGGTTTGTTTGCAATCGTGTCATTACGATTTCGTGAGTCAGGATGTGTCTTGCTGAGATTTTCAAGACTATTTTCTTCCCTTTTTTTTATCTTTCCTTATCTTTCCTTACGTTGATCCACCACCCTTCCCATCCCTTACCTTCATACCCCACCCTTCCTTCCTTTCCCTTACTTTAACTTCATCCACCACCCCTTCCCTTCCCTTACCTTCCTTTACCGTCCCTTTCCCGGCCCTGTGGCCTGGTGGCTTTAAAACTCCGCTTCACACACGGAGGGCCCGGGTTCGATTCCCGGCGGGTGGAAACATTTCGACACGTTTCCTTACACCTGTTGTCCTGTTCACCTAGCAGCAAATAGGTACCTGGGTGTTAGTCGACTGGTGTGGGTCGCATCCTGGGGGACAAGATTAAGGACCCCAATGGAAATAAGTTAGACAGTCCTCGATGACGCACTGACTTTCTTGGGTTATCCTGGGTGGCTAACCCTCCGGGGATTAAAAATCCGAACGAAATCTTATCTTATCTTATCTTATCCTTCTTTCTTCTCTCCCTTTTCTAACTCCCCTCCACCTCCCTCTCATTCCTCTCCCTCTCTCACCCCTTCTCTTCCTCCTCCCTCACTCCTCCACCTCCCTCTACTTAAGGACCTTCAAACAACCTCCCTCAGCTCACCTCATACACTGTATAACGACGTTTGCAAAGAAAATCTTTGTTTGTGGAGTTGGGATCAAAGGAATGTTTGCGTCTGCAGTTGTTGATGAAAAAAAACCCAGAAAATTTCCCCGCACTTGGCCCAATTTGTCCTCTTGTTTTAGTGGGATCGGTCCAGTGGGTCGTGTTGGTTTGGCCTCTCTTTCTCTCTCTTTTCTCTCTTTCTTCTCTCTCTCTTTTTTTTTACTAGTGTTTTAAAGGCTAGTTAAAGGGGTTTTTTAGTTTTAGTGCTAAGAGTTGTTCTAAGTCATCTCTCTCTCAGTCTGTCTATCTTCTGTCTGTCTTGTCTCTGTTGTCTGTCTGTCTGTCTGTCTGTCTCTCTCTTCTCTCTCTCTCTTCTCTTCTCCTCTCTCTCTCTCTTCTCTCTCTCTCTCTCCGCAGCACAGAGGGGCCCAGGCCCTGAGAACGATCCTGGCCCCCCAAATAAATGAGTATACTAACACTGAGCCCAACAGGAGAGTGGGACAAGGAAAAGTTTTGATTACTGCGTATAAAATCTTAAGAGAAAAATGGGCCAGATATGACAGATTGATTTACTTAAAAGGAATAGGTATTAAGAGGACACAGATGGAAGTGGAAAACAGATGACCCAAAGGAAGTAAGGAAGTATTTTTTACTCTCAGTCACATACGTAAGAACGAAAAGTCTGCATAATTATGGGCTTTCTGCATGAAACTAAAAATCGCCATCTCTGTCAGTATTACAATGTTAAATAAAATTTATTATTTTTAAATTTTTATTATTATTATTTTTTATTTTTATTATTTTATTATTTTATTATTATTATTATTTTTTTATTTTTATTATTATTATTTTATGATTTTATTATTTTATTATTATTATTATTATTATTTTTTTTTTTTTTATTATTATTTTTATTATATGTGCCAGGCAGTGATGCCACAAAAGTGGTTAGAAGGGGGGGTCAGGAGAAGGGTTTGACAGCCACAAAAACAAATTGGGGAGTACCAAAATCCCCAAAAACCCCCCACACCACACCACACCAAAACACACCACACCACACACACACACCACACACACACACACAAACACACACACCCCCCACACACACACACAACCCACACACAACACACACCAACCACCCACACACCAACACAAAAACCACAACCCCAAACATTCACAACCACACATCGGAGGGAAAAACGTCAAGGACCGGTAATCAGGAAAAAGGGAAAGGAAGAGGAGTGAAGAATGTGAGGAACTCAAAGGATCAAAGAAATGTTTTACGAGGGACAGAAAGGGGCTCCCCGAAAGAGGGAGGTTGGGGGACACCCCTGTGCTGGCCAGTGCACACAACCCCAGGAAAAAGTGAAGAGGGTTCTGTTGAGTAGATACCTCAAAGGGAATGGGGGCCCGTAAAATTCCCATGGGTTGTTAGGTAAGACACATATCAACGTTAGGATCTTTATTTTGAAAAAGTTTCGCCTCCAGTAGGGTTTCAGTCGAGTAAGAAAAATTGATGAAACAGAAGAACTTGAAGACGTGTAATCAGTCCAACCCCTTAAAATTTTTAGGTTGGGGAGTCCCCCAGTTGGAGAAGAGCATTGTTCGTTGTCTGAAAAATATGAAGTTGAAGTGCAGGATGGGCCTTTATATAGTGCCAGGGGGTGAGGGTAGGTTGTTTGGGGGGGCAGGTCCCTCCAAAACCCCGCCGTTCTATAGTAGAGGTCGAATTTTGGTTGTCCCCGGGTACCCTTGTGTTGCTGTTTGACAGAATGAAATTAAATGGGATAAAAAACCGACAGATTGTTAGGTAAGACCAATGAAAAAAGTTTGGTATCTTTATTTCGAAACGTTTCGCCTACACAGTGGTTCTTAGTCGAGTACAGAAAAGTTGATAGAAGCGAAAATACTTGAAAACGATGTTCATCCCTCACCCTTAAAGTTTTTGGGGGGTCAGTCCCCCAGTTGGAAAAAGAGCATTGTTCCCCTTGTCTGAAAAAAATATGAAGTTGAAGGACAGGATGGAGCCTTTAATAGTGCCCGGGGTGAGAGTAGGTTGCTTTGGGAGGGGAGGTCCTCTCAAACCAGCCGTTTCCCCTAGTAGAGGTCGAAGTTGATGGTCTGTACCAAGATACCCTTGTGTTGCAGTGTCTGACAGAAAACATTAAAATGGTATAAAATCCCGAAGATTGTTAGGTAAGACACTAGAAACAGTTGGGTTCTTTTTTTCAAAAACGTTTGCCTACACAGTAGGCTCTATAGTGAGAACGGCTGGGTTTTGAGAGGGACCTGCCCTCCCAAAGCAACCTACCTCTCACCTCCTGGCACTATATAAAGGCTCCATCCTGCACTTCAACTTCTATTGTTTCAGACAACGGAACAATGCTCTTCTCCAGATGAGGGACTGACCACCTCAAACTTTAAGGGTGATGGACTGATTCATCGTCTTAAAGTATCTTCTGCTTCTATCAACTTTTCTGTACTCGACTGAAGAAGCCTACTGTGTAGGCGAAAGTTTCGAAATAAAGATACCTAACTGTTGCATATGTGTCTTACCTAACAATCTGTCGGTATTTTATACCATTTTTAATGTTCATTCTGTCAGACACTGCAACACAAGGGTATCTTGGTACAGCCCATCAACTTCGACCTCTACTAGTGAGAACGGCTGGGTTTGAGAGGGACCTGCCCTCCCAAAAGCAACCTACGTCTCACCCCCTGGCACTATATAAAGGCTCCCTCCTGTCAC